ATTAATTTCAACCCTAAAAAATTTGTTGTTGCACTTAAATAACTTTTTTCATTAAAAATAACATCTTAGTATTTATTTTATAATTTTGTTTTTTTATAACGTTATATGGACAAAACGACATACATAGGCAACGGACATAATGACATACCTGTCATTTAGTCCATAAGAGCTTAGTCAGAGAACTTACCTTAATCTCTTAACGTTTTATTAATTATAAAAAATGGCTTCCAAACAAAATCTTTCATTATTGTTTAAAAGAAATTTTAGTATAAAACTTTATTTCTTTTCTTACATATTATTTACAAACTTATTATATTTCACATAACAAAAAACTTGCAACGAATCACGTGACTCGACAAAACTCTTGTTTTAACTTCTACTCCTAATATGAAGGCAATTAAATCAAAAAATGAGTCCAAAGCTGCTCCGCCGGAGAAAAGGAGACGAAACATTACTAAAAAGTTACTCGAGGAAAAAAATTTTCCTGATAACTCTCAAGATGATGAAGAAGACTGTCCATGCATATATTGCGATGATTTTTTTCCCCGATCTAAGCCTAGAGAAGACTGGTTACGGTGCTTAAATTGTTTCCGTTGGGCTCACGCTTCTAAACGCTGACGTTTCTAAAACAGCCAAGCGTTTCATTTGTAAACTTTTCAGTAATTTTATAGTTTTTACGTGTATGTCATTTTGTCCATAGTGGATGATCTCGATTAAACTAACAATATATTTTTTTCTATTATTTTAATATTGTAAGTGTTTAGTATATTTCATAGGTAAAAAACCAAAGATGATTGGTGTAGAATATGACAGTGCTGTGATTTACCAATAAAGAGTTATGAACCTAAAATAAAACCGTATGTCATTTTGTCCGTATTTCCCCTACAGGCTTGTTACACCAGAGCTTGTAATAGAAAAATTTAAAGCATACGAAATTATTAATTTTACAAAAATATTATTTATAAAGAAAAATATCTTCCGAAATACATTAATATTCGAAAAGTGTTCGCGTGTTTGACAGGTGATGGCCTCACACGTGATCGAAAGTGGTAACTTTAACGTCCTATACGTGTTATATAAGACTTTTTTAAATAATACAAAGCTTGTAAAAGTGAGAGAAGAAATTGCTTTTTGGTGATAAAGTGTTTACACTTTATAGTCGACCCAGGTGAGTGCTACACGTTGCAGTAATAATATAGAGCGGCTACATCGCACTATATCACGTCGTAGTAATTGAATATAACTAGTGAAGTGCCGTGACACTTAATGATAGGAAAGCTGTGTTTCTGTAAGAAGCCGATTTCCAAAGGCAATCAGTTATTTGCTCATCAGTGAAGGTCTAGGGTCCATTCCTATTCGTTTGTTCAATAAGCCAGTAAAAACCGTAGACTTCTCTAAATGTATTTTTAATAACACAATTACATTCCGAATCGCTAGCCACGATATAAGAGCTAAAATTAAAAATAAAACTATAAAAACTTACTTGGTGAAATAAAATGTGTGATGGATATACATACCTGGTAGAAAATATTCTTCATTTGTATGTATATAGTTTTAAAGAAAATTATAATTATATAGCTTTGTAAAGAAACGTACATAAAAATCCCATATTTTTTACTTTTTAAATATTAAAACAACCCACTTAGTTAAAATTGCTCCCTACCAGTAGACTCAGAGACGGTCCTGGTAGGTGTGCAGTCATGCATGGAGCGGGCTGCCAAATCCCGAGGGTGCCGATACGTGTCAATGTCAAATGACTCTTTCGTCGCACCTCAAAAGACGCTAAATTTTAAAGTTTAAAATTTAAACGATTCTCGCCATAGCTGTAAAAATCTAAATATGTTTATCTTAATAGATTGTCCGTCATTTATTTCGTAACTAATTCGTTTTATGACCAGGTGTTGTCCACGAAAATTTTCAAAATTTACAACTTTTCGGTCATTCTCGTTGAACTGGAAAAATTTCTGTCTTTATTATATCTAACATTACGAACAAATCAGGCCCCCACTTTACTCGGCTAGAGATTACTTTTAAGTATAATTCCGGCTCTTTTAGTATGGTTTTATTTATGTCCCTAATTCCCTAATCTCTTAATTATTTAACTACTTAAGTAGAAATAAGTCGAAACCGGTTACTTTGTACTCGAATATTTGTAGTTTAAAACCTACTTTCAACAAAAAGAGTGGCTTTTTTTTATAACAACAACACAGTTTTATGAAAAAGTTAAATTTAAAAATTTTCTGTTTAAACCGCATTATTTCAAAATGACGTAGATAGAGTGATAAATTTATTATTAGGAAAATTTTATATTTGTTATCATAAATATCAACTTAATTCGACTCGGTTCTTTTCGTTAGCTCCTCAGTTACGTGTATTACGTCATCGATATACAAGCGCGTGGTATCTCTACATCACTTTGGTTTTGGTATTCGTTAGTTTAATCTTATTTTAACTTTAAAAATACTATATTTTTCTAATATTTAATATTTTCTTAAGTACATCAAGAAAAATTATTAATTAATAAAACGATTTTATTATTTTTTCTCATACGATTTCATTACATACCGCGATTGTCATTGCGGAATCGAAAAAGGAAGGTTGCCCGTAAAACTGAGTTTTGCATTAATGCGTTTATTGTTTTTATAATATTTTGCGTGCGAAAATTACTTGTATATTATCTATATATATAAAAATGAATGTATGTCTGTCTGTGTGTCTGTGTGTCCTATGTCCTTCATGCATTACCACACCGTTTATCCGATTGCCATGAAACTTTGGGAAGTTGTTTAATATACTCCGGCGAAAGTTTGTGGCATAGTACGATTGCCATGAAACTTCAGGAAGTTTTTTAATACACTCCCGCGAAGTACATTTATCCTACAATAGATGACGCGCGTTTACACGAGCATTCGCGCATAGTGTGTTTGATCGATTTCAAATTGTGAAGACCATTTCCCCGTTCAAAAATATATATGTCTCTATATATGCATTTGTGAACTGTTATTTACGATATTTGTAATCATTTTTGTTTAATCACTTTATTTCGACTTTTTTTGCTAATTATGTTTTCGCTCGAACTTCGTTAAAATCTTAACTGTACCCCGAACAACGACCGAAGTTGTAGGAAGAAATTCGCCTATTTTACCGATCTAGGTATCGCCCTTTTTCAAATTTTAATATCGACTCGAAATAATTTAAAAAGACAAATTACAATAAAACGGTTTATTATCTAACTATCAGAAATTTCCCAACATGCCAAGGAAGAGAGGAAGGAGCAATTAAATAATTAAAATTATAAAGGATTTAAAAATATATATATAAATGGGGAATATCGCGCTTTTGACAATCGCTGCAAGTGTGTGGGCTAAATTTGGAGAATCCGTGCTTCTCGCATGGACAACTGTATGTGGCCAGCTCACGCGTCGGAAAACCTTCCGAATTATTCGTGTACGCACCAGACGAAAAAACAAAAAATATCGTGTATCCACGAGCACTCCAATAAATAAATAGAATTGAAACGACACTTTGAAATGTTTTCCCGATGAAAACGAATAATAATAATATATTTCAATAAAAATGATAAAATGAAAATTTAATTTTATTATAACGAGTTTGCTTGAATTTGCTTTCTTCTGAGATCGCAGCAATGCGCGACGGGTAAGCTAGTTTTTCTATAAATATCGCGCAAATTAAGTACGTTGATACAGAAACTATTTATCGCACATGTACTGTATATCAGCTTCAAAAAGTGATAATAATAAATAAATAAAATGAATTTTATCAAACGATGAGATCAACCGACTAATTGTATCGTGTACAATATTTTATACCCCTAAGGAAAATACTGTAGGTGTACGGTAAAATAAATTTCGTTTTTCCAGTTAAACTTCGCTACTAATTGCCGTTGTGATGAACCATTATCACTTTCTCAGATAATTTTAACACGATCTTCTAACAACAGCACTTTGCATTTCTTTCACTTTGCATTTCGTTTTTCGGACATTTTCCAATCAATTGAAATGAATTTCCTTTGTTGCTAGACTAATTAATTAACACTTGCACTTAATTTTGAGGGTGGAAGAAGTGTCCACGATGGGTTCGAACGAGAGTTCAGATTAATTCATTATAGGAGAAAGAAACGTTGTTGAGATGGGTTCGAACAATAGTTTAGACCAGATACACTCGCGAAAGTGGTCGCTTATACAAAGTTAGCGAAAAGAATAAAATATGTTCTAAGTGGTTTTCGAGGGTGCCGAGTTTCTGGACAATGAATTATTAATGATACGAATTATAATGATACATGATCCGTTTTTCGCGAAATTTAATTGGTTGGCAGAGTACCGTTTGATATTCGGCTGAGAATGGTACAGTTTCTTAGAGTTAACATTTCGAAAAAATACGATATCTTAAATCTGTTAAGATATATTTTGAATCAATGTCTACTTGACTAATGAAATTGTGTTATTTCATACCATCTGAGTATCGCGATAAACGTGACAATGGTTGGCTGAAATAACCAAAGTTTTTATATAGTTTTCGTTTCAATCTTTGTTATATTATAGTGTTTAATTTATATAACTATAATCTTATGTAAGGATTCGTTATTCCTCTACTGTAAACAATTAAAGAATTTCTTAAATGTGTTAGATTGGTCACTCGGTGCGATAAAGCCTTTGTAAATATAAATGAAATGCTATAATATAAATACGAAATAATCTAATATTCTTAACCTTTGTTGTTATTTTTTGCCCGGGCAACGCCAAACTCATATGGTAGTTTATGTATAGGCCTATAGAAAATATAAATGCAAGTAAAAGCGAATACAGATAATTTACTTTCAAAAATATTATTTTTTTAGAATAATAATTTCTTGGCTTATCCGTTCTTTTTAAAGCAGAATTTATTTATTTGGTTTTACAGATTTTCTTAATTTTATTTTTAAATTCGAATGAAGGTAATTTCGTTTTTATCCTTAAGAGAGCGCGCATAATTTTAAACGGCTGGAATTTTTGTTTCGAATGGTAAGTCCGTTTTCTTCCAACGATTTGAAAAATATTTGAGTACTTTAAAGATTTGGTGAGAGTAATACTTTATTATCTAATATTTTACTATATTAAAGTTTCACATCAATAAAAAGTAACTTAGAACTTATTAACAATACTTCTATTTAGCAAAATGAACAAAATATTAATGAAAAATTCGAAATTGTTTTAGCCTAATTTAATTTCAACTAAACATAACTCACCAATTCGATTGCCGAATTACATAGCATTTACTCAATTATAACACGAAATTTTTATGCAGAAAAACAGATAAAAATCAATATTAAAACCTAAGTTATGATTATTTATTTGTGTGGACATTTTCAACCCGTTATCGGTATTTAAATCCATTGTTATAATCTAGAATGTTGTATAAATTTTCATATTGCGCTGCAATTTGAAAAAAGAATGTAGACATAAATGTAGGAGTATTGACAGAAGTAGAAATTATACTCGTAATAATCTTCCAGCTTCTTCTCGATAGAACGATGATGTTCTACGATCGTAACGCCTTTCCTTCATAGCGCCTGTTTCAACCGTCATCTCGTTCTCTTCTCGCCCAAATCCCACATAAATTTCCACTTTTTTTATACTCTTTCCTCCATGTGGGCACTAAGTGGGCCTCTTATAGCGGGCCCATTATGGGTTCGGCCAGGCCCATAGTAGGGCGACCGGATGGTGAGGGACTGGGCCTGTCATTTCCGAACGAGCCACACCCCGAAGGATTTCTGGGGATTCCGTGACGTCCGGATTCAATCCCGAGTCCCCTAGAGCGGTAGGTTGCCATCTTGACCGCTCGGCCATCCGGCCCAAAAAATTCCCACTATCATTTGACTTCTATTTGTCTGTCTTTCCTTAATCTCGAGAAGGGAGTTAGACAGATGAACTGCGAGTATAGTCCTGCAACTACACAGGCAGGAAGCCCCGATTAACTATTGCCTATATGAACTTCTGATGCAAATTGAAAGTTACGTTGTTTTAATAGAAAAGTTTTTCCCGAAAGGTGTTAGATAGACGGTCGCCCGACTCTATTGCTACACGGGAAAAGTACGATGAGCAATTTCCTGTGAGCAATAGGTAATTTCATGCGGAGAGCACATATTTGAAATTAAATAAAATTTAAAAAATAAGATTAAAAATTGAAGCCCTGCATTGTGACAATGCCACAATAAATAATTACTCGTTAGAATATTAATCTGTTATTTAAAAGAGAAGAATAAATCGACACAAAACGGCGTTAAAGAATTTTTAATTTTTTCCGAGCTCTTTCGACATTCCTATAATCGCCGTCTTCAAGAAATAACTCAATTCGAATGCTTTTTCAGAACAAATTTAAAGTTCAGAAATGAACGGAAAACAAAATTTAGAACATAAAATTTAAAAACATTTTCAAAAATATCAGGCAGTGTCTACGCGCGTGCGCTTCGAAATGTGGAAACAAACACATAAAAAGATGTCGGAAAAGTGGAGATAAGAGATTAGTTAGTATTATGTATTCGCTTGCAATGTTCCCTCTAATTTTTTTTTGTACCTGAGCGGAACACGTACTTATCTGTGCAAAAAAATTTTTGCTGAGCAGGTTCAGAGCAAAAAATTTTTCTGAGCATATATATAATCTTATTTTTTCCTATAAAAATTAAGATAATTAATTATAAAGTAGAGATTAAAATTCATTTTAAAACATACTTCCATTCAAAATATCATCTTTTGTCAATGATTTAATGTATTTAATCGAAATATACGTAGCAAGGATCATGTTGCAGACAGAGTGAGAAATAAGTAAACTATTCAAATCAGTGTGCATACTCGCCTGTGCGGCACATAAATTCTCGTGTGCGGCAACAATTCGAACAGTGCGCGGCAGTGCTGGCCCGAAGCAAGTTTTAGGATGGAGCGAGTTTTTATTATGGCGCCCGGGGGTAAAACCCCGCCCACGCACTCGACCCACGCGCGTCTCAACAGATAAGGTCATTCACATACTGGCCACACACTTGCAATTAAAATATCGAAAAGTGAAAAAATATATTTTTTTCCTTTAATTTTTTACCACTGAGGCGCCCCCTAGGACTTAGCGCCTAGAGCGGCTGCTCCGTTCGCCCTATGGTAGGGCGCGCGGCCTCGCAGCTTACAGGGAACATTGTTCGCTTGTACAAATTGACTCAAATGTCAGGCAACTGGAGGATGTGGAAGTTCCACGGGGACAATAACGTGATGAAGAGGAACTCCACTAGGTTCCTTTCACTGTAGCTCCTGAGTAATACAGAGCGGTCCCAAAGCGGGTTGTGGCGATACTGTAAGACATTTTGGACAATTCGGTGTCATACCTTCCCACCGCCAGAAAATGTTGATGTTCAGCTAATCGACAAGACAACATTCTGGTGGTACCCCTATGTAGTAAAGGCTACCACCAGAATCTAATATATAAGACGAGAAATATATAAAACGAGATTTAATCTATTTTATGAAACATTTATTACCGATTTGAGACTCTTACTAATGTCAACTCATTTAGTGGTTTAATAAGGCAGAAATTAGTGCACATTTTTTATCGGCATTACAAGTGAATTTAAACAACTAAGAAATGTTTTTTGGAAAATTTCTAAAAACCCGGAATAAAATATATTTAAAAAAAATTACATCAAATACAAATAAAAATTTGATGTCTTCGCGCATCCTTTACAACCACACTAACATAATTACGAATAGTAAGATAGACTTTTCTTTTCAGACTCTTCCCTGCTTACTAATACGTAAATTCATTAAAAGTTCTTTTAAAAAATAAATGTATTTACGTAAAAACTGATTAATTATAACAATAATTAACATTACATCGTTCAATAATATTTCTGTTACTTTTTCGCTTTACGACTGCTAGTGTAAAGTACAGTTGAATTAAATGTCACCGATTTAACTATTAGGCTACACTAAAACAAATAATGTAGAAAATGATTAACATTTAACCCTTAAATGTTTTATAAAGAACTAATTCTGATAAAATTTTACGACTGATATCATCATTAATATAATAAGCAGTTTCTCTTATAAAAATTTCGAATTCCCATAACATTTTTAGAAGTATTTTATTCGAACTTTTGGTTTGTTTCAGTTGTAACTTTAACTTAATTAATGCATAAATATGATTTTAACTAATATTAAATGCTACTATTAATAAAAAATAACTGAAACTATAAAGTAAATACTATTTAAAGGTTTCACCAAGACAAGCAGACAGCTCTAAACTATTGACAATACGGATCCCTAAAATAATAAATGTTTGCAGATTTCTATATACACACGAATTGTACCTGTACTGTACGTTACACATGCATTTACATAAATATAGATCCGCAAATATAGCCACATGCTTGTAGGACCATTCCAAATAATTTTATCGCCGAGATAAGCCTAAGAACAGCGTCAATGTACAGTACTTACAAGTGTGACCAACCCTGGAAAGCTCTCTATTTAGGCGATAGACTACTTTACTGATTATTGGCAAGGGTAAAGGTGCAGCATGTGACTGGTCAGCATAGTTTATCCCTCTACCGAGTCTACCTACCAGATGCAAGCTGACTCATGGTATACCTTACACCTGCGAATGATTGAAAAAGTAGTCCATCGCCCAAGGGAAATGCTTTCCTGGGTTGTTCAGACTGTATTTAATTTCTATAAACACTTTTGATTCTGATGAATCAAAAAAATTCTATAAACACTATGACAACTTTTCAGTAATCCTTCCAACTTGTCGCGAAAAGATCTTGGTTACGTGGAGTTTTCCTCGTCTTTCACACCTAGATAGGGGACGATTACCCTTAAAAGACCTTGCCCTAGGCAGATCGCTCAAGTGTTGCGTTGCCATAACTACATAAACAAACATATACACACGAGTATTAGATTTTATGGAAAGGAAGTTCAAATTTTAATAAGTAAAACAACTCAACATTAATTATTTAGGTGTTTTCTATATAATAGACGTTTTGTACGCACTAAGTGTAAACGTTAATCAGTGATTGGGTTGAACGAGTGCAAAACTCTGTGAGAAAGTACTGTAACTCGCAAACGTAGAAATGGATCAATTTAAAGACCTCAGATTGGAAAAAGCTGCGTTAATATATAATTAGTTTTGGGGCTTCAAATTGCTGGGAAATAAATAGTCGATGAAAATTTACAATTAAAAATTTTCTGTTTATCTCTTTTTTCAATTTTACTGTTTGGAATAGTAATTTACAAGCTTTTTCCTCTTTAAATGTATATTTCTTTCACTTTCTTGTGCATTAAATAAGTGCTTTCATCTTCAACGTACAGGATAAACCAAAAGCAGGTGGACAGTATGTGATAATATTTATTGAGATTACATATAGAATTATATTTACTTATATAATACAATATAGTTTTATCAACGCAGGTGCTCAAACTGCTATTTATCACAATTTACACAGCTTGACTACATTTCACCATTTCATGCGTCGACAAACATTTATGCACAAATATCTTTGTGTATTAATTTCTTGAAATACATCTTAGATGTAACTTTTCAACCATAACAATAACCAAGTAAAATATACACCCTTGTTATAGTATAACCCTAGTACAAACCCTATTTCACCTATTATCCACTTACTTTTGGTTTACCCTGTATAGAAAACACTGAATATGCCTAAACGTTTTTCTCAGTCGATAATTAAATAAGTAGGAGAAGGAGTGTATCAGTAATTGTTGTTATGAAATTGATAAATACAAAATGCTTTTTAGGGTGACAGAAATGATAATATCCACTGTTAAAATTTATAATGCTAAAATTATGAAACCGTATCTCTACGATACATAATTGTTTGTAAACAAATTGGTGATTAAAATGTGACTGGCATTCTTCTGTTTTGGTGTTTACTGATAGAAGACGTGAGCTTATTTTGGCACTTTCGCTTCTTTACTGACCCAAATACAATAGCTTGATGATGATACTAGAAAATCTATTTCCTTCTCGTATTAGCAGTCGTATAACACCTGTAACCACAATATAAACTCGTTTTATCTATTATAGAATAAAAAGTTTACAAAAGTAACATATGCTTTTATTTTAATTAATGAAATGTTTCTTGCAATATTTACAGATAATATTCTATAAGGAAAAAAATGGAAAAATTCTACAAAAAAGAATATTCAAAAACAGCAAAAGTAAAAAGTAGAATTGAAATTATTCAAAACCAGATTAATTCTAATAAAGGGAATACTTTAGAAAAACGAAACGATACGAATATTGAAGAACGGCACGTGAAAGAAGCAAAAAAAGCAAAATATGTGATCGATGATCCTTTAGAAATCAGCGATATAAAGGATCCGAAATGGGAGATGATGAAATCTCTTAATACGGATGACGAACGTTACAGAGCAGTTAAAGCTTGCTGGGGTTCGAAAAGCCTACCTAATCCTAACAGGGATTTAACTTTACACAATTATAGATTACGTAAGATGAAGAAGGAAGGTTACAAAGAATCAGCAAACGATGCGAGAAAAGGAAAACGAACGGCTACTAGCGAACCGGTGGACATCATCGATAGCAAACGTCGCAAAGTAGAAACAGCCTTCTGTACAGTGGTTCTCGATCGGGAGATCGATAAAGAACATCAGCTGTACAAAAAAAGACACGATCAAGAAAAGCAGAAATATTTCAGCGACGTACAAAAGATCAAGCACGAAATCTGCAAAAGAAAACAATTACTCGAACAAGAATATTTGCAGAAGATTGAGAAAACTAAATCGTCATCTAGTATTTATAATCCTCTTAGTAAGAGAGTGAGAGAATGGAAGACTTCTAAAGAAGTAATGTTGAGAAATAAAGAAAGTCGGGAAATTGGGATTGCGAAAAGACGTTTCGCTGATGCTAACAAGAAACTAGAAGATAATTACAATGTGACTTTAAATAAACTTAATAAAGCTAGAGAGGAAGTACTCAAATTCAATCAGTTTTACTGTGGATCGAGTAAGTTAAACCCGGTACTAGAAGGTAAAAGACTGGAAGACGTTAGAATGATCGAAGAAACATTTAACGCCTTCGATAAAGTTTATGGACATGCTCCTGAATAAAATATTTATTTTCATATACTAACGTTTATGGAATAAAAATTTGGTTGCTGATATCTCAGTTTAAAAAAATTACCTGATTAATTTTATCAGTTCTTTTAATATTCCGAACGTGATATTTTGTCATTATGAGTCAAAAGAAAAAAATGAATATTTGTTTTCTTAAATGTAAAATAGATTTAATTTTATTAAAATTCTTATTGTAATGAAAATTTTTTTGTATTTGACAGTTGAATATGCAATATGCATGGTTAATTTACTGGATATTTTTATTAACATAATCTTAAAATGATCATTTTTATAAAGAAACATGTTCTCTAAATAATACTACGCGGTTTTAGTGTGAGAAATTGAGCTTTTTGAATGAAATTTTATTCTCTTACAGTTAGAAAATGTGTTTAATGACTTACTTGTCAGAGTGCATGTATAAGACTAGGTTAAGTTCTTATGAAATTGTATAGAGGTCATTTTCCTTTTATTTCAATAACAGTCTTTCTTTTTTATTCTACAAATGCTTCATCTTCACATAATTTAAATGTGTTAAAATTAATACAAACATTGCTATAAATAAAATTACAAAAGGATGTTGCATAAAAGGAAAATAAATAATCTTAAAAACAATATCGAAAGTTTTAATCACACGATAAGAACTTTGATTTATCGATTGTTCAAATGAAAAGTTAAAAAATATCAGAATGACAATGTAACAGTGGCGTGCGTCATTGGAATCATTGAATGCGCCGCTTCCCATGTATTTTAAAAAAAGTAAATACATATTAATTTTAATTATATGAAAATAATTGCACAATATTTTATTATAACC